ATCTAAGCCATGCAGCTTCCCCAGAGCCTCTCTGAGCTCAGACTGATCTTTACAGTGAGCTTTTGGATTAGACAGCTTCTAGCCACAATATCTAGCTAAGGTTCAAACAATATTAATAAAGGATAAATAATAAAATATTATCCTCACACATATTAAATTTGACAAAGGAATAACAAAATTGCTTTGAATGTCTTTTTGCTTTTTTATTCTATGTATATAAAAATGTTTTATTGATACTCTTTTGCCCTACATCAATTTATACAAATCTTCCCAGTTTCTCTGAATTCTTCAGATATGGTTTCTTACAATGCCATAATATCCAGTGTAGCATAGTTTCTTACAATGCTGTAATATCCTATTCTATCCTTATATCACAATTTGTTTTGCCACTCTCCAATTGAGATACCCATTTTGCTTCCATCTCTTTGCTACTGCAAAAAGTACCAATTTAAATATTTTGTGCATGTGTTTTCTCTGGTCTTTGACTTCCTTGGGGTATATGCCTGGTAATCGTTGTAGCTGGACCAGAGAATATGTACAGTTTAGTGACTTTTCTAGTACAATTTCATCCACTAGTCTTTGATTTACTTGTAAATTTGATTCTATCATGTTATCCCACAACTCACAGCATCTCAGGGAGAGTTTTTAGGGGGAAAAACCTGTGATTTCATCAGTGTAGGGTGCTCTCAGTAAGGAATTTCTCTACCATTGCAGATCAGTACCTTCTCTGAGATTTAAGGTCTTAGAGTTGCCCCAGGCACTGAGAGGTTGGGAGTTGCCCAAGGTCATGCCACTAGTATGTGTCAAAGGAGGAACTTGGGCTTAAATCTTTCTGACTTCAAGACTAGCTCTTTATCCATTGTACTATACTTGCCATGCTGCTTCTCAATGAGAATATTGGTGTTAAAGAGATGGGATTTTACAGCAGTTCACAATTTGGGGTCATTGAAAGTGTTCCATTATTTTCCAAATTTGATCCAAAACACTTCCTCATACTATTCAGTTTTGGGTAAGCTTCTTTTCCATCTATAGTATCTGTCTATGACTTCTGTGTGTGTACCTATTTATCTCTCTAATCTATCTAGATTAACTTGATAGGTTGCTTATCCAGCTGCATGTCTGGGTTACATATGTTTTTCATCCATTTTGTTTTTCCATTGTAGATGATTAGACTGATTTCTTTCTCATTGCTATAGATTTCACTGAGGAGGCTTTGTAGTGTTTCAGGGTTTTGATACAATTAATCTAAATTTATTTGTGAATAGAAGTAGAGGGAGAACTTCATTCCTAATAAGGAATTCTTTCATTTAGCCTCTGTGCTAGATGCCTTCCAAGACAAGGGCAAATCTTGTGTGAGCCCACATCTCCCCAAACTGTACTTCATTTGATGTCAATACTTAGGCCATGATAAGCTGACGTAACAAAAGACTACATTTTATAGGCCAATTCGAGATAACAATATGTAATGATGTGCTATAAAGTAGGAAGTAGAAAAAGATTGAGGTGCCAATCCTTGTTATTCTATCTCTTGCCTCTGGGCCTTTGGCCAGTGATCCTGCACAACTGGAATGTACTTCTTCTTTACCTTTGTTGCATAGACTCCCTGGCTTCCTTCAAAGCATAGCTAAGGTACCACCTCCTGAATGAAGCTTTTCCCGATATTGCTAGTAATTTATACTCTCACCATCTTCAAATTACTTGTACTTACTTGTATACATGTTCTATCCCCCCGGTTAAAAATAAATGCCTTCAGAACAGGGGCTTTCTTTTCTGTCTTTGTATGTCCAGTATCTCTCACATAATATGCAATATGTCATAGTTGGGTGAATTGAATTGAATTGGTGTATGCTGGTTAGTCCTGCCAATTCCGAATCCACTCACCTGCCTTTTGGTGTCCTATGTTACCTCTGACTTCTCCCTTGAAACGTACAGGAGCTCCAAGAATTTCCTGCTATCCTTATTGTTCTCTCCTTCTCTCCATCCCTCCACATAGGGAAGATTCATTTCAGGTTCTTCAAAAATTGCCACTCATAAAAACCAGGGCTCTTGTTCATTTCACAGTTCCTCCAGGTCCAGTGTCCATCCAGCGGTGGACTGAGTGTCTGTCTGGAAGATGCTGCAGTGACAGAAGATTGGCACCTGGGGTAGAGTAGCCCTTCACTTGGCTCTGTCTGGGCTTGGGATCCCCTCCAACTATGCAGAAATGAGTTGCTGTCCTTTTCTCTCCACCTGATCCAGGATGGCCAAGGCAGGCATTCTCAGACTGAAGGGCGCCAGCATGGTTAGTAATTGGAGACAACGAACACTGGGAAGATGTGTTGGAGATAACAGCAATTGTATAAAAGAAGTGGATGGTGAGTTGAGGGTCAGATTGGATCAGACAGGTACCATTTCTTGGGTGAGAGAAGCTCTCTGAGGTCCTTATGCTCAATAGTTGGAGGGTAACCTATGCAGGGACAGGAAACGAACTGGGGCATCTTGGGAGTGGGTAGAAAAAGGTATGAGATGGAATTCAGTGGAAATAATAATAATCACTAGTCTTTACATAGTGCTTTGAGGTTTGCAAAGTACTTTACAATATTATCTAATTTTATTCTCACAACAACCCTGGGAGATAGGTGCTATTACCTATTCCCATTTTACTAAACCGAGGCAGATAGCAGCTAAGTGACTTACTCAGAGTCACAAATCTAGTAGGGGTCTAAGGCTGGATTTGAACTCAGGTCTTCCTGACTCTGAGTCCAGTGCTCTATCCATTGCATACCTCTTATTTGTTCCCCTTCTAGCATGCCTGGGAGTGTCATTGGGCATCAGGTAGGCTGGATGGGCACCCAGAGTCTTAGAGGAGGTACTGCTCCTAGTGTCACCCCCAACCTTACCCAAAACCTCAGTGCCCTTCTTGCCAGAAGTTCCTGCCTAACACTGACACTCATAACGAACCTAGAGACCTCACCATGGCTAGAAATCTTTTCTCTTAACCTTGTCCTAGACTTTGGTATTCTCCTTCATTCCAAAGCTTCCTCAATGAGAATAATAAGAACAACTCCCACTTCTAAGTATGGTGCTTTAAGGTTTGCAGAACATCTAAATCAGTTGTCTCAAATTCTCCTTACAGCAATCCTCTAAGGTAGGTGTTATTATCATCCCTGTTTTACAAATGAGGAAATGGAGGCCTGAAGTGGTAAAATGACTTGTCCAGGGTCACACAACTAGTTAATATCTGAGACAGGATTTGAACTCAGGTCTTCCAGATTACAAGTCTATGCCACACTACTCCCTTCCCTTACTCTTAAGAGTCAGTTCTGTATCCTCCAAAATATAGATCACATTGTCCTCATTTAAAAAAAAATCCTTAGGAAAGGACATTTTGTATCTCTTCTTGGAGATTACAGTTTCTTATGACATTCAAGGGCAGGAAAAATAATAACAATAATATGATGAATAATATCTGGCATATAATGTAGTATACATAGTGTATACATACATATAGTGTATCTCTACCTGCTTAGCACCTAAACTTTATTCTTCATGCTCTGACTGTTCCTGGGTTGGGTCTAGGTAATAATCTGTGCCTTTCAGGTCTAGGTATACACCCAGTTCTTATCCCTTCGTGATTGGGAGGACCAGGCCCCGATGACATGCTCCACCTGTCACTTCCTGCCTCCACTAAGTCTTGGGGAGTTCACCAGCCCTGTATGGGGCAGTTCAAGGTCATAGCTCATGACTCTTCTGAGTTACCTAGCAGGTCTTTAACCCCATCCCACCCTCTTCCTCTTTAAGAGATGACAGATGGGCTAAGAAATCTTGGAGATAGAAATTGTACAAAGCATGGGGTAAGAGGTTAGAGGTTGGAGCAGGCTTCAGCATTTGAGTGTGGGGAGCTCTGTGAGGACCTCCATGGTCAGAGTTGATGGCAGACAGCGTTTAGAGAGTCAGACTTGAACTTGGGTTTAAGAATGCCTGTTCCTAAGAAATTATTGGAAGCTTCTGCAACAGATTTCACAATCCAAGGATAATTCTCCTCCCCTCCCTGACTTCTCTGTTCCTCTAGGTCTATATTTCTTTTAAAAATCAGGTTTTGCAGTTGGGTCCCCATCTATACTCCTCTAGGTGCCTCTTTGCTCCATCTTTTTCTATTTATTTTCACCCTTGCACCTCCGGTCTTTTCTCTCCCCTTCTGACTCTCCTTCCTTCCCTGTCATAGTCTTCCTCAGTCTCCCCCACTCTGAGTCTTTGTCTGTGCTTATGTCCAGCTCTCTTCCACCCTGGATCTCTGTCTGTCTCTGGTCTCCTTTTCTCTGGTTCTGTCTCCCTCTCTAGCTGTCTCTCTCCTCGCTTTCGGTCTCTCTGGGTCTGTCTCCTCCTGTGTCCCCGTCTCCCTCCACGCCCTCCTCGAGAAGGGAGAGAAAGAAGGAAGGAGATAGCTTGTCGGACTGCCCCAGACCCAGGTACCCGCGTCTGCCGCTCTCACAGCTCCCTCAGCGTGGCTGGTCCTGAAGGGATAGGGGAACTGGCGCCGGGAGCCCCGAATCCGCCTTCCCCCACGTGGGGAGTTTTCTCCTGCTTCCCGCCTCCCCTCTCCCTCCTCCCTCATTCATTTTCTTAAAAAGGGCTAGGCAGCTCTCTCTCTCCTCCTTTCTCCCAGCCTTGCTCTGGGGCTGGGATTGGCTGGGCGGCCTCTGTCTCTGACCTGGGCACCCAGAGAAGGTGCCGATGCTCTTAGCACTTTGCACACACTTCTTGGAGCCTCCTGGCAGAGGGGTTTGGCACCCCAGCTCCCTGCCTACTACTGCGCAGGGCTCAGGCGACAGACTGACAGACGGACCCACCGACCGACCGCTGCCTTCCCACCCTTCCACAGACTGCAGTCTTCCTTCCTTCCTCCCTCCTTTCCTCCCTCCCTCCCTTCCTTCTCCTCCTCTCCCCTTCCCTCTCCTGCTCGACTCCTCGGTCCCCTCCCCCCACTCCCTTTCCCGACCCCCACCCCCCCACCCCTTTCTCCTCTCTCTCCTTCTGTATCCTCGATCTAGAGCAATCTCCTGACACCTGAGGGAAGTGCTGAGGAGGGCTGAGCAGCCGAGGAGAAGAAAGAAGAGGGGGGAAGTGAAGGGGCTGGGTGCCGGAACGGAGGGGCTGAGCCCCCCAGGCACGGGCGGGGCTGCTGCTTCTTCCGCACGGTTCCTCGATGAGGAGGCCATCTGAGCTCGGGCAGCATTGGAAGGAGAGTCTGGGACTCTGGTGAGTGTGAGAGGCAGTGCTGGGCTCTCCCCCTGCCCAGGGGACTTGGTGGGTGGCTTCAGGCACTTTCGTGGTTTGGTGGATGGAGGAGATTGAGTTGGTGGGAGTCTGGTGTATCCCCCTCCTGCCCGGGTTAGGACAGTTGAGGTAGCCTGTGCACCCCAAGAGCTGAGGTCCCCGCCCCCCTTGGCCTGGGGAGGGGGCACACAGGACCAGGGCTGTGCTAAGCAGATACCCACGACCCACTGGAGATCGATGGACGGAGGAAGCATCCATGAGCGAGACCATCCAGCCTGGGATGGACTTAGGGGACTGGCTATCCTCTTGGGGTTGGTCCTATTGAGATCAGGACATTTTACCCCGACTGTCTGATAACAAAGCTACATTTAGAGATCAATCCGGCAGTGGCTATAGCATCCCAATGACGTGGTTGTCATGGAGATGGTACAGGGAAGCTGGAGTGATAGGAATACATCTGGACTGGAGATGGGCTTTGCTAGGGAGTGATGCTCTGTACCCGCCCCCCATCCCCACCTACCCCACCCCCCAGGTCTTTTTGTCTGGGTGAGGTGACATATTTGTTCATCTCTCCATAAAACAATAAAACCCCACAAAGCCTGGTCTGGGGGGGCTTCTCATTACCCTGAGCTTAACTGAATTGTTCCTTCAGCATTGGTCTCAGCTTCTGTTCAATATGCTTTCTTGGTTTTGTAAAAACTGGTTCAGGAGGAGGAGGGGAGGCCAGGACAGTTTGGCCTCCAGAGGCAGGGACTCTTTGGTTGGGAAAGCTGCTGGGGTGAATGGGGTGGGAGTAGAGAGGTGTCTGTCTGGCCAGGACGATTTTCACCCAGAAGCTGCTTTTTACCATTTATTTCTGTTTTATTTTCCTTAACTTTAATGGCCCTGGCCTGGCCACAGGCTCTCCTCAGGCTTTGGCTGACCAAGAAATAGCACTAGTGGGGGTGTGGCAGGTGCAAAGGAAAGAGTGGAGACATATAATGGCCAAGTAGGCTGGCAAGAGGAGAAGGGTCCCTGTGGCTGGTCCACAGAGGCAGACTGGGTTGGGGGCTCAGGCTTCCATGTGTAGCCATGTCCTGGGAGCTGATTCTCTGGCCAAGTCCACAGCTAGTCTCCCCTTGTTCTTTGCCTTCTGGGTTTGTCTAGAGAGCATCTGATCTGCTTTGCTCCTCTCTCCATCCTCACCTCCCTGCCCAGACCTGGGGATGAAGGAACTGTCAGTCAATATGAGGGCTGGGAAGAAATGTATGTGTGTGTATTTTGGGGAACACATTGTCTTTTTAAGGATCCTATGTTCCCCTAGTGCAACCTCTGCCCAGATCCTTTTGTTTTGGCTGTGGCCCTGTTGTGGGGGATTGACCTGGCAGAGAAACCCATCAGTATGGAAGTGTTTCCACAAGATCTTTGCAGAATTGGGTCTAAAACAGGGCTGGGCTTATTTGGTAAGGTTTCTGGGAAGTCTGAGATTAGCTTGAAACTGACTGGATATTCCTGGGTTCTTAAATTGCAGTCTGGGCTGGTGAGGAAGGCAGCGTCACTGAGGGTAGTGATGGTAGTCAATGAGCTGGGCTGTGGAACTCAGACCTTGGGAGCCAAAAAATATTAATAGAGGGTCCTCTCGGTAGAGACTTACGTCTAGCAGAGTCCAGCCTGTCTAATACAGGTCTGAGGGACATACTGTGGCTACTGCCATGAGAAGTTTAATCTCTGAGAGTGTGCCCTCTTCTTATGAATCTTCCCTCTTCAGTACTCTTCTCCTCACTGCCCCTACTGGTCCCTGACCCCCAAACAAACCAGAAAACCTGACAGCTTGTGCCTTTGTGGTGGTTGCATTTGAGTATGTGATGTCCTGAGTAATTTGGTATTCTGGGAACCAAATCTTCCAGATTTTTAGAAGAATGTAAGAGTTCTGCCACCTGGGGATATTGGAGCCCCAGCATTCCCATCTGTAAGTTGAACCATCACCCTTGTCCCCTCATCCATCTTGAACTATGTGCACCCCTTCCCCTCACCCACCTCAACCTGGATCCAAAAAATTCTCTGGGGTCTTGGGCTGATTTCAGATTTTGATCCTGGGTGGGCCCAGAAGCATCAGCATGTTGTGGTAGTGGTAAAATCTAACCACCAACCAAATTATAGCAGCAGGATGGGTTTGCTGCCCACCAGGGGGAGAGGAAGGGAGAGCACTGTTACTGCCGAGGAAACAGGACATAGGCCATCTTCTCCCAGAATTCTCTAGGACACAAGAAAAGAGGGAATTCTAAATTGACCCATTTAATAGAGGAAACGAATCCCTCATGAGGGAGGGCGCTTAAATCCCTGGCTTGAGTCTGGTCGTTCTGGGCTAGTAGATGAGGTCATTCTGACAGCTGTTTGATCTTCAAATCCTTCTTGCCTTTCTCCTATTCATGATCTCCAGATCCTCTTTCTGTTGCCCTTGTGAAGTTACAGTCTCACAGGTAATATGGCCTAGGGGCTGAGTCAGTCTTTGGAGAAGGTGCCTTTGTTTTTCTCCCTCCCTCTCAGTATCTACTCCTTCTGTGTCTCTGTGTGTATCTCTCTTGTCTATTTCTGTCACTGTATTTGCCTCTGTCTTTATCTCTCTCTCTCTATCTTCCTTTTGATAGGAAAAAGTCTTTAGAAATATAGGATTAAGAGCTGATCATCTAGTCCAACACCATCATTTTACAAATGAGGAAACTGAGGATATTAAATGACTTATGTGTAAACCTAAAGAGAGAAGTTTGATGTAGCACTGGGAAATAGTGTTAGACAGAAGGAGGGACTGCTGCTTATGAGGAATGGGAAATAAGAATAGGTAATGAGGGAAGGGAGACTGGGGCCTTGCCTTCTCTGGGGATATGGAAGAAGAGGGTTATCCACAATTCTGTCTGGAGAATAGTAGGGCAATTGAGGAAGAGGAGGCCAAGTGATGGGCCCAGAATTGCCAGGCAATTCAGTCAATTGGTCAATCAACAAGCATTTCCTAATGAGCCAGGCAGTGGCTTCATCAAATTAGGGCCCCTGTATTGGGTTTCCAGTCTTCCTCTGTCTCCCCTTCCCAGAATATCTCCTTCGGAATTCCTTGCCAGAATGGGGTTTTCTGAGACACTCTTCCTCCAAGTGGCAGACGACGCTCGAGACACTTCTCCAGATGGCCTTTTCCAGGAAACTGTTGTGAGCGGTGTCTTATGTTTTGGGAGTCCATATTTAGCCCAGCTTTTCGTGCGTTGCAGACACTCATTCTGTTATTCCCTCCCCACTTCCCAAGGAGTTTTTATTTGTTGCTTTCTTGAGATCTTCAGAGGATGTGGCTGCCCCCTGAGAGAGCCCTTCCCTTGTGCTGGACCCTCAGAGAAACCTAGTTTTTTAAGGTTGCTTGCCTCCCCCTCAGAACAACTTTCTTCCCAGGATAGAGATAAGGCTATTAGTGCCTCTCCCCTCAGTCTGGCTTTCCTCTTTATCTCTTTTGGCTTCTGCGCCAGGCAGGCCCTCAGCAAAACTTACAGACTTTGCTCTTGGTGGTTCTCCTCAGCAGCCTCTTGCTTCTAGCTACTTGGTGCCTTCATGCAGCTCCTAAATACACTACTGCAGCCTCAAGGCCACATGCGGCCCTCTAGGTCCTCAAATTCAACCCTTTGACAGAATCCAAATTTCATTGGGTTCAGTCAAAGGGTCGAATTTGAGGATCTAGAGGGCCACATGTGGTCTTGAGGCTACAGATTCCCCACCCTTGCACTAGACCTTCCAGGGAGCTATATTTTCATTTTTAAAGATTCTACCTTACAACATCTCTTGCATCTATCCCCTTTTCTCCACTTATGTGGCCACCATCCTGGTTCAGACCCTGGTCACCCCTCTCCTGGAGTAGCATGATAACCTCCTAACTGGTCTGATTTGCTTCTAGCTACTTCTCTCTCTGATCCATCCTCCATATCGCTTCTCAATCAACATTCTTAAAGCAGAGGCTTGCCTGTTACTTCCTTGTTCAAGAAACTTCAATAGCTCCTGATGACTTCTGGAAACAAGAATATAAATTCCTGTTTGACATTTAATGCCCTTCACAGTTTAGCTGCAGCATATCTTTTCAAAGTGATTATACATAATCTGCCCCTTATGCACTCTATATTCTAGTCTTACCAGCTTCCTCAGTGTTACGGGTACATGACAATGCATTCATTTCTTGTCGTTTTACCTTTGCTTCCCCTATGTCTGGAACGCTCTTTTTCACTTCCGCCTCTAACCTAGCTCCCTTCAAAGCTCAGCTGGTGCCCCCTCCTGTTTCTTCCAGTTATCAGTGCTCCCAATCCTTGAAATTGCCTTTTTACAATGTTGTATTTACTTATCTGTGTACATGCCCCACCCCTGGATGGAATGTAATCTCCCTGAGGGCAGGAACACTTTTTTTTTTGTTCCTATCTCTGGATCTTTGTATCACACAGGGTCTGCCACATAGTAGATATCAAATAAATGCTTGTTGAATTGAATAGAAAGATGACAGCAGAATGGGGCAGGAGGATAATGGTGGGGGATACAGAGGAAATGAAGTCCAAAGAAATGTTTCTACTGGCTGAATTTCAGGCTCCAGTTGTGGAGTTGTTTGTAGTTTAAAAATTGTGTCACATGAGCAACTGCTGACTCTGGCTGTGCAAAGGCTGACCTTGTTCCTCTGGGTTTCACTGAGCTACTCAGAAGAAGAACCTTCCTGGGCAAGCAGAATGACCCACAGCATCCATTTGAGCAGAAGCTGAAAAGACTGAAGACTATAACCTTGGAAAAAATGATTTCCCTTTTCTGGGCTTCAGTTTCCTACATATCCTCATATAATAGGAGGGAACTGGGCCAGATGAACTCTAAGGTCCCTTGCCAGCTCTAACATTCAATGTTCCAAGGTATAGACCCAGAGGGGAAATAGCAGGAGCTTTTAAATTCATGATGTAGGTGGAAGTGGGCTAAGAATGGGACCACAACTTGTTTCTCCA